ACTTCAGAAAATTTTAGGTTTTCCTTTATTGTCTTATTTTTGTGGAAGACACCTGTCCCTAAAATCCATGCCATATCAACTACGACACATACTGAAACACCAAGGATGCACAACGTTAAGAACGAGGAAAGACAACACACCTAAACAATTCTCTCGGATAACACCAGAGTGCACTACTGCATAGCTGAGATGATTTACAGGCAGCCGAAGCAACATGATGATTGAGGTGTGGGTTTGGTCTACTTTCACATGAATAACCTGCACACTGCAAACAGTGATTTTCTTAGCTTCAGATACCTGATTTTAAGGCAAACAAGACCTGATGTTTGGTGTTTCTTAACACCTGAATTGCTTGCTGATTTTTCTTCACTGTCAAAACCAGGCTATATAAAAATATGTACTAAAAGACAGAGCCACTGAACATAAGTTTAAGTCAAATCCATTGTCTTTGAAATGATATGTGCTGTGAGAACATACTTAAGAAATCCCTATCTCTCATTCAATTTGATATAGTTAGAATGGCTGATCCAAGAGCATTTTTTGCACTTTAAGGAGACAGATGCTAACAGAGGTGTTCGTTATAAAATAGCCAGAACTTTTAAGCATTCTGCAGTGTTTCCATTGTAAATCACAGAATCATTTAGATCAGAAGGCACATTTGAAGTCTGTAGTCCAACCTCCTGCTCAAAGCAGAGTCAAATTGCATTCAGACTGTTTGGCTTAAACTTTGTCTGGCTGGTCCTGAAAACCTGTTTCCTTCCCTCTCCTACCATAAGCATGCTCCAGTCCCAGTCATCTAGGTGGATCTACATCAGCTGCTCCAGTTTTTCATTATTTCTTGAACCTTAACTTTGTGTGTTAAATGCACATTCTTTCAGACACAGGTTCTCAAAATACATGACTTTGCTTTTCTTGGAGGCTTACCTTGTTGAAGTAGTAAATACTTATGATGCTTCTGTGAGAGCCTAAATATGAGGATTTTGAGGCAGGTGGACAGCCTCACATTGCACTGAATGAGCAGCAGGCCTGGATATCAGGGGTCTCCCTGGCTGCAGGAATCCAGACAAATGTTTTCACTTGCTGTTCCTCTGTCAAGAAAATACAGACAAATTCCAACAAATTCTATCTACGCTTGGGTGGATTTCCTTAGGAAATATTCCTTATGTATATAGGGACTAATCGTTTAACCTAAAGTGAATGAAACAGCAGGTTCCGTTCAGTCACGACGTACTCAAAGATTGCATTAAATTTACCACAAACACTTCTCAATTCATCCTTTCAGTAATGAATAGCACTTTCACACCAAGAAGGTAACTGAAATGTCACAACTGTACCTTTCTAGTGCTAAACAGTTAAATAACATAGCTGATACAATGCCAGCACTGTTACAGTTAACATCCAACCTTTAAACATTCAGAAAGCAAGATTATAGTTAACTGCCTTGAGAGGGTGCATAGTGTTGCCTAATGAAATGCAATCCAAGCCACACATCACCTTAATGCCAAAATCTTCATCTTGTAGAATTTTGTGCCTAAGTATGTATCTTGGATCTTGGTTATTTTGCAAAAAGCATTTAATGGAAGAGTGGCCTTTGGTGCAAGACTATTTGATTTCTAGTTTCTGTCTCATGGGCGAAACAGGTTCAGGTGGTCACTCTTGCCAACACAGTGCCAAGCATGGAACCCTGTACAGCAAGAGCTCTGCTCTGCTGACACGAGTTCCCTGGGAGACAGTGCACTAGCAAAGGTATGACATCTGCCCTCTAATAAGCAGAATCAGTGATGGCCATGTATTTTAGCCTGTACCATCAAGAACCCTACACAGTGTCAGACAACTTGCTGCCTTCTGTGCTCAGTGCATATACACAGAAGGGATAAAGAGGAAAATTTTCTTCTGGTGCTCTGATGAGACTTCATATTTCCTCCTGCTATCAGTATGGTGGGTAACCAATTCTCCCAGACCTCTCTCAATGCACGATATTGTCTCATTTTTAAGGTCATTACTGTTGTAGTGGAGACTACTGCAAAACATTCACTCTGCAGTGATGATTCTGCGTCATACAAATGGTGAGTTTTTAAAAACCACGCCTGAAGAATGCATTCTGAATGTTCACAAATCAAATTATTATATGCATTTCTATGACAGAAATAAGAGAGTAGCTGTACTAGTACATTTTTTACTCCCAGAAAAAGAGCCTGGCAAGGATAATGAAGTTACAAATTAGTATTAACCACACTGGACTGATGGCTGACAAAACCACAGACTTGCTTAAGCTTGCACTTTATCAGTATTCAAGCTGTACTTCTGCCTTCTACACACAACCTTCTGCACTGATCCTGTGTTTGTTACTTGCTGCTCCTTTCCACATATTTCAGGAGGTTTGGGGACAGAAAAGTATTTCATGGTTTTTTTGGAACAAGGCACAAAGTTTAGCGATCAGGCAGTCATGATCTCGAATTACCAAGTGAGAATTACAAAACTGTGAGTAAAGCTGAAGAAGTACTGAAGTGTAACAACACCTTGCAGAAACCACATAACAGCAAATACAGAGCACTGCTGATTTCCATGGTACAAAGGTTTTCCATCTATAACCCTGCTGTGAAACTCACTTGGGAACAAAAGGGATCATTGTTAAAAAAAAATCTGAATACAAATGTGTTGTAATCTTTGAGAACAGGCTGTTAGGTCTTGCTTTGTGTTTTGATGAGATTTAGGCAAGTGCCCAAGTGCATAGATATGAGTTACTTTTCAGAATATTTACTGAACCCAAACATTAATATTACTGCTGATCGATCCTAATAACACTGAACTCTGCAGATGCATCACAGATGAACACTTCTAATCTGCTATGTTTAGAAATGTATTCTTACATTACTCTGATTTCTCCAATTTTTTTTTCCTTTGCTGGCTGAAACTTATCATTGCACTATAAACATAATAACATTGAATATATTAATATTAATGAAAACATTTTCAAAGTGGGAAAAAATACTGAATATATTAATATTAATGAAAACATGTTCAAAGTGGGAGCCAGATCATGGCTCAGATCTGTAACTTCTCTTACACATTCTACCAACAATCTCTTAAGAAAAAACTACCAAGTATCATTTAAAAATTTTAAGAAAGCACACAGAGTATATTTTCAAAAATCTTATTTTTATTGTTTGCACTACCTGTAGCATGATTTACAGCTTTCTAACAAATTGAAGCAAATCAGCACACAGAAACCTATTCAAGGTCAGCGCTCATACAGTGAAACCTTGGTTACATAAATGCAGCACACCTTGGTGCATAACAAACTTAGGAATAGTCAGTTCATCCTAACACTAAGTACAGTCACTCCAGTTTCCTGGATTTTTCAAGGCTGTTAAGAAGTGATCATTTTAGGGGTGCAAAGAGAAAACAGCTACAAGGTTTATAGAGATTAATGTTTTTTAAACCAGAAGTCTTAAGTCTAAATCATTAAGCTACAGGAAGGACCCTTTCTTCAGCTGTAAAAATTTTGCTCTGCAAAACAAAAAAGAAAAAAAATTAGTCATTTTGCTATATTTAAGCACAAGTAAGATTATTAGCAGCCTAAACACTTTAACCAGCCTGCTGGTTCATGCTGCATATATTCCCATTTCTCTCAGAAGTTTGCCAGGGTTAGTCACTAGTTCCTGGCTTTCTCTCTCTGAGCCAAAAGGGAAGTGGGGTATAAAACAACAACTGTGAGGGCTTTAACTTTTTAAATCATGGCTGAAAACCTGAGACTTACCAGACAAGAGCCTGCATGTGATCCCCTATTGCCTCTACAGAAACAAAGCACCAAACCAAGACAATCTGTTTGGTTTTATTAATTTCTGCAAGTTGTTTACAAACTACTTTTAAAATTTAAAATGGTCAATTACTAACTTAAAGTTTTGATGAAGAAGCTTTATTGTCTCAATTTCTCAAGGTAGTTCTAAATTGTTGTAGCTAATGCATGTTATTTATCCCACTTCACAGGCTTAAATACTGATGTCAGCAAGAGGGAAGGAATGACACAAGGCAGAAAACAAGCCCAATTCAAACAGAAATAAAATACCATAGGATTAATAGCAGACAGGACAAATCTCTTGGTACATACTAAAGACTTCACAGAAAGCTGTCAAGAAGTCCTGAACTAGCATCCATCATTGGGAGTTCAGGCTGTCCAGCCCCTCAGAAGTCACAGTACAGGCTTCACCACTTCAGATTTTAGTGATCAAGCCTAGACCCTCCCTTTCCACACCCCTGAGAGACCCCCAAGTTCAAAATAAAGTACAACAGGATTACTCTAAGTATATTCTGCTGTGCTTCACGGTGGAGTTTTACCTGAAGTAAATCCTTAACCTCTAAAGATGCCAATAATGTAGGAGCAGAAACCATGCAGGGATTCCCAGCAATGTTCCCGTGCCAGTTTCATTGCTTCTGTTTCATTTTCAGACCCTTGCCCGTGCTGGGTTGGTATAAGAGGCAGGATTGGAGGTTTCCCTATTTTCTTAGCAGAGCTTTTCCCTGCTCCCCTCATAGAAGCGGAAGCTTTCTGGACTGATCTGTCCCGGTTTGCTAGATCTTCTGGCTCCACACCAGCAGCTATTTGCTTCATGAAAGCCTCTGTGGGAGCCTTTTGGCACATAGTGGTCTTCAGCACTTCCGTGGATTCACAGGCGTGTGGGAGCTTCCTAAGTTCCACGGCGATCTGATTCCAGTAAATCTTTGGGTTGTTTCTGAAAGCACGACAGACTGATGGCTTGCCAGTGAATTCACACCAGTAGGACATGCCTTGGCTTTTGCATTCAATTCTAACTTTCATCTCCTCGTCACCGCTCATGCTCATTGTGCAAACATCTTTGGTTTTAGTCCGAAAATGGATTTCTTCACCACTGCTTCTTTTCTTCGGCTTCACCTTCTGTCCCAGTGCTCCCATGCCACAGGTGACCACTAGGAAAAGTAGTGCAAAACTCTTCATGGTGAGAGGAGCTGACAGAGATCCTTGAGCAATGCAAGCTGAAAAAGTGAAACCAGTAAGTAACGGGCTGCTCACAATTTAAAGGCTTGGTGCACAAAGAAGCCTCTTTCCAGTGAAACTTGGGATCTAAGTTTTTTTTAAAAATAAAAATAATAAATCACACAGCAGTAGGCATGTGCCTGTAATTTATAGCCCAAGGGAAAGTCAAATAAGCTGTCAACTCCCAAGAAGGTAACAAGATAAATCTTGTAAATGCAGTTAAATACAGAATGATAGTTGTATAACGAAGCACATTCCTATCCAGGATGAACACGTCAAATTTGATTTTTAACAGGTACTTTCCATTCTCCAGCTGCTTTATAGCTATCTCCATGCCAGAGCTTGTAAGACCATATCAAAGTAAAAAAAGAGAGAAGTGCCAAAGCAATCTATGCAGCTACATCTGGATGAGTATAAATGTTTCCTCCTACTAAAGGCTGATTTGTGGAACAGGTTTTCTGTGGATTTGCACAGTAAGGATGCAGCTTTTGTACATCATTTTGTCAGCACATGACGTGCAAAGGGGACAAATGGAAGAATCAACTGCACATTCGTTGAGCCATGAAAGACTTTTAGACATGCAATATTTAAGCAAGGTAAGGAATAAACTTTTAGCAAAATAAGGTCTTGCAAGACCTAACTATAAACTAGATATTTGAAGTTCACACACAGAGCAAGACAACAGAACTAGCTTAGCACAGGTCTTAGCAGCAGGGAATAGACATCAAGCATCTCAGACAGTTGTTCTTAAACACTTTTCAGTTTTGTTTTGGTTTTTTTTTTTTTTTAACAGATATTTTCCTGTTCATAATAAATGAGCTGTAAAAAATGACATAAAGGAAAGGCAAGAGAACAGAAATACTTCAGTACAGAATCCTATACTAGCAGTTTCTGCTGCAGTAACTGAAAGCAGAGCTAAAGAAAATCATGGTAAGTGCTTTTGGCATTCAGGAGGTCATGAGAAAAAAAATCCCTCCCATGCTGTTGCAAGCCACAGTACTTTTCTGGCTAGTAAGACCCCACTAGACATGTACGCTACACCCAGCCTGACCTGAACAGCTTCTGGAAGGGGTATTGTACTATTTAGGTATGCCCAAATAGCTGCGGCGTGCTAGAAACTGTAGGTGTAAGAACGGCCATAGAGAATGGACTAGAAAGCTGGTTTGTGTAGCTAGCCACTCAGTACATATAGCTAAAGAAAATACCAAGGCAAAAAACATTTATTTAACACAGGCAGTGAAGCAGAACAAAACAAAACAAAAAAAAAAATGCAAAAAAGCTTCTTCTAATACTTGACAATAGAGTCCCTAGGTGCTGTGGCACCCCAGCCTGCCCAAGAGTTGCCTGATTGAAGACAGAGACACCTGGAACAGCCATTCTGGGTAGCCTGAACCTTGGTCGTCTTCCAGTGAACACATCACAAAGTTCCCCATGATTAAGTATCATTGGACAGAGAGAACACCACTTTTTTTTTCACCTCCTCTCTAAGGCCATTTTTTCAGTAACCCTCTTAGTAGAGGCCTCATTTCTCGCTTCTTGCCGTTCCGACTGTCCCTTTCAAAGCACAGCGGAGGGGCTCTCCAGTCCAGCTTTAGGAGAAACTGCAATGGTACAAGGTACTTCAGATTTACAATTCACTCCTGTGTTGTTTTCTGGGGAGCCTTCTGAACTGTCATCCATCCTGCCACAAGAATCTTGTTGCCCACCTCTTACTTCATTTCAAGGATTCAAATCTCTACTGCAAGCACTCAAAGACCTCTTAATATTTGCCACACAGATGTTACTATTTACACTTGGTTTTATGCACAACAGCACTGACAGTCCCTGGATTAGTAACTAAGGACATTAATCTCTTGTTCTAATTATCGTTACAGAGTTCAAAACTACTTAAAAGTTACTTTATACCAGTTTCAGATCTCTTACTCTGAAAGTAATTTTTAAAGTGTAATTATGAAAACAAATCAGACTACAAAGATAAGGACAAATATCAAAGCTTGGAGTTGACAGCTCTGGTATATTTACATAGTACAGTTAATATGTCACTGCCAAGTATTTGTCTCACTCCCATCTGAGATTTGTGTCCTCCATCTGCCTGTGCTTCAGATAAAATAGCCCATAGTCTGTTCTATCAGTGGAAAACAATTGTCCTTTTGCAAGTTAAGTTAGGATGCCAACAGTGAACTATGGGAGCTCAAGAACTGGCAAATGTTTAATTCTTCTGTCAGTGCTACAGAAACAACAACAAAGGCAAACTCATTAGCTTAAGTCCTACCATCTTGGCATAAATCACATCCTTCGTGGAAGTTAGAAGCTCCCTCATGCAGAGTCAACACTTTCAGTCCTTCCTGCTCCAGTTCTTGGTCTCTTATCTTGCTTAAGCAAAAGTCATCAGTAAAAGTCAAGTATAGGAAACATTTTTAATCATGGTAAAAGAATTCATTTTTATAAGATTTTAACTCAGTGCAACTCTTCTGAAACAGGTCTACACAATAAAACAATTCAGAATCAAACATCAGGTAGTTAAGCAAGTTCTTTTTTATTTAAATGAACTGGGAACATTTCCTCAAATTAAAAATAGAAACTTTTAAAATTTGCAGTTGTGAAGATTACATATACACATATGCTACATACTGTCAATTAGACATGTTTATGACCTAAAAATTAAAAATTTAAGGTTATTGCAGATTAAAAGACTATTATCACTTTTCAGTATTTCTTTAACATTATATGAATGATTTATAGGATTAGCCCTACTTCAAGCCAATGAACCTTGTTGGAAATAAAGTTAACAATACTGATACATGAAGAGATGCTATTTTAGATCAGTATACCAAATTACTTCAGCTGCCAAAATATCTTACACTAGTAAGGTATATACTTTTGGCCTTGTTGATGAATTCCACTGTTAACTAATCCACCAATGCAACTGTAGGCCTAAATTCAGGCAATAATCCTAGTAGTAACAACATTAACTCCAATTACTAAACACATTTGAATCTCAATATTGGAAATCATATTCTAAAGTTATTTAGCAAAACCAGTTATCACTGCCTGCTGAAGGAGCCACAGCTTAACAGTGATACAACTAAGGTCGTTACAGACATGAGTGTGAATGAGGAAATGGGAAAGAGAGAGAATGTAAAGCATTCTAAAAGTCACCAACACCTGACGTCTGTCATGCTCTTTTTGAGTACTACTGAACTCTAGAAAGCTTAGCTTTTTTTGCTATATTACGCATCACGCACACTCCCAACCCTCCCACCCAAGGAGTTTCAAAACAAACTTCTCAAAAAAGTCCCCTTTAGGTCTATGCTGCAAAAACCACTAAAGATGAAATAATTTTTTAAAAAAGGGAGAAACCAAAACTGCAACTAAACTTTTTGGAGACACAAAGAGACACCGTGGATCCCATTACACTTCAAATTTAGTTCAAAGTGTTCATTCAAGAGCACCAAATAGCAACACTGATCATGCTGGTAAATTCATTTGTGAAGAGTATTATACAATATTAAAATCTTAACTAAACGCAAGTTTTAAGAAAAATGTATATACAAAAGTCTCTGTATACAAAATGTGTTTTTATGTAAACGTGTATGTACTGTATTTAACACAAATCAACAATTTAAGAACTGGACCACTTGTCAGAGGATTGCTAGGGAAAGGCTGTTCATCTAAGTAATTTATATACTTTGATGTAAAGTAGAAAGCCCAGTGTAAAAAAGTAAAAAAACAAAACCCAACATTTTAATTCAAGCCTTGAACAGTGGTATTTGAGAGGCAGTGTCCTGATCTCAAAATATTCTGTACAGTAGTTTATGGCATAACGTTCAATAGTACATTTGGGATTTACAGTACAGGTGACGTAAAACAAGTGGCTCAGGATTTGGATGATGAATGCAAATGCCAACACACATGGAAGAATAGTGATATATATATATCCATAGAAGAATCTTGAGTCTCATTTATACAGCCTGGAAATAATCACAAAAACAGGTCAGGAAAATTTGATGAAAGCAGAAAGTTAATATAATTAAAGCAGAACGAAGGCATTGATTTTCATATGAATATCAATACGATTTAGTAATTTATTTTTAAACCTTACAGCACTCATGTTACAGAAAACAAAGCAGCCTTCCTAAAAATGGTAAAGTAGCAACAGACCAAGAATTAATATTAAAAGCTTATTACTTACCCCTTAATATGTGTTCAATACATGTTACCACTGTTCCACAGAGCTATACAAGAAAAAACAGAAACCAAACACATTATTGGGTTTTTTGCACACAAATGGAACAGAATTATCGTGTCTACCTAACATGAGATAAGCTCAGCTGCAACGAACTGTTCTCAAACTTTCATCCACTTAATCAAGAGTTTTTCAACTAAGAAGAAACAGATTGTTTTCCCCACCAACTTTTCTGGTTATCTTTGTTTCACGACAGAAGAAATGCTTGGATTGCTTATTTAACACCACTCCTTTGAGAACTTAATCCAGCCTCCAGTTTTGCTCCCACAAAAATGGTGGCTGCATTTGCAATTATTTGTATCTTTAATATGTATACAAAAATACCTGTGTGAGATATCTATACAAATATGCCTCATATAGATCTCGTAATATTTATAAAGAAAGATATTTGCATTTCTTCCCAACAAAATAACCCAGCTGATTTAGACGGACAAAAAAACCCCATGGGATTCTCCACAACTGCAAAAGTACAGGTGCACAGAGATCTATTCAAAGTCGTTATCTCTCAAAGTAGTATCTCCACAAAATAATTTGTAGGAAATGAGAAAAAGCAAGGACAGAATAAAAGCAAAGGGTTTGCTGAAATGAAAATTCAAACCAAAACTCGATGGCTGTGGGAATCCCAGACTGCGAAATTCAAAGCATGTCTCTCACATAACTAGCAGTTTTTCAAATTATGTCAGTTAGCACATCAGAAGACAGTGTTGCTTCAAAC